AATTCTTTAAATGATATAAATTTTGTGCATTTTGAGTTATAATATGAACGAAATATAATACTGTCAAGTAAACCTAGCGCCAGAGTGTCGCTATGGTACACAAAGTGAATTTTAAAGAATGCATTTATTCTATTGTGGTTTATGCGCTGTCGGCAAAGTAGGTTTAATTCAATCTAATAAGTTAAATGAAATGCAAGAAAAAATGCGTATAATTTAATATTCCGTACAAGGAAGTCATTTGGTGTACACATCAGATTTTTTTATACTATATTTCTGCGCAATTTCAAAGGCCTGCCGTCTGGTTTATATAGAAAGTTATCTAAAAAAGACCTAAAATGCCAAGTGATATTGTTATGCCTGCCTTGTTTATATTTAATATTTCTGCATTAACTAATATTTTTTTACATAAAAATCATGAAGAAAACTCAAGCATTCAAAATGGGGGAATTAGTAGTAAAATTTAATATTATATATACCAATTAAAAACATTTCAGTGTTCTGAGGAACATAACTGTCTTTACTCGGTAATAAGATTTTTTGTGACTTTGTATATATTAGATAGCAATTTAAAATATTTTGCTTCCTTCCTTTCCTTTAATGATTTAAATATCATCTAATGAATAGAAGTTTATGAAAACAGAGACTAAAATAAGTAATTATATAAGTTTAGCTAATAAAAGCTGTTTAAAGAGTAGATCCAAAAAGCTGTGCCTTTCAGTGGGTTAAATTTACGTTGTGTTACATTAAAAATCGTTATTTAATTAATTCCTTTCATAAAAAAGTATTAGTAATTCTTCATAAAAAATTTTACTAAATATGATTATTATGAGGAAGACAAATAAGTTTAAAATTTTAATACCTGCTGTATGTAGCAGGCATTAAAATTTATTTATCTTCGCGTTAAATGTTACTTATCTTCAGATTTTTAATGTTTAAGTTTCCTCCTTGCTGTATCTGTAAACATTTATTAGCTAATAAAAATATGTGAAATATGAAAATAAATGTATTTCTTATTTTTTCTTGGACTCGCAAATCATTACACGAAAATTTAGTTAAATTTTTTTAGTCGGAAAATGCATGTCTACATGCAATGATTTGTAGTTGCTTTATTTTTTTACCACGATATTTTGAACAACGATAAATCTGCGAAGTTTTTTTACATCCGTTTATTTTCTAACAGGATGTTTAAGACTGTGAAACTGCTCGAGGACGATTTTCTTTTGCTTTGCTTTCTACGCGATGCTTTTACGGTGATATTTCCAGAGCAACCTATTAGAAACTGCATAAAAATGATCAGGAATAACTGTGAAGTTCTAAACGTCAAGATTCTTCCATATGCTCTAGCTTCCTTTCGGAGAAAACTTATAGATTATTCTTAAAATACAGAATTACGCAGGATTCAGATTCAAAAGAAGTCGTGTTTACTATTATAATCAATTACTTGCTTATAATCAGAATATTTAGCAATTAGTTACTTTTCTTTAGATTATTCATCTATATAAAATATGCTATTTTTAAGAATGAGAGGTTGTAATTAGGAAGAGGCTTAATGTTTTATTATTTCAGTTTTAAAAAGCTGCATTTTATGACTTGAATATTGTTAAGTTGTGGAACATCGAATTCATCGGCTTGACAACATTTGGGGAAAAGGTGCTGAACTTGGGTAATCCCATCAACAACTGCGCTTTTATTTGATTCAGTTTACCCAGATTTGGATGGAGGCGGAAAAAATATTAAAATTCTTGAATCTACGTATTTAAATTTATTTATGTACAGGAGTTTTACGCATGAATGAGGAGATCGCGTGAAAACGCTGCTTTTATACCAGCTGCTTAAACTAAGAATTATGCATCTATGCAGTCTGTTACTTTGTAGCTGCATCTTCGATCTCCAATGTGCTATGCTTGACGCATAATCCTTGATTCCTTTCCATAAATAGGAGTAAAATACTTATCTGCTGTTTTTCAAAACTTCTAAATGACATATATCATAAAACTGGCTCTATTAGTGGTCAGATAGCGATTATTGAGAGATACATGATGCTTTGCATAGCCAATACACTATTATACATTGGTTAATAATTAATTAATATGGCCGTAACTAAATTCTTCACCATTCGATCTGCATTTCCGTTAAAGTCATAAATTTCGCTGTCATGCTTACAGTGCCTCCCAGCAAATGGGCTACCTGCATTGGTCTTTTCGTGGTTTTCCTCCATGCGTAACATGGATACGTGCTCTTAGAAAGTCCTCCATGAAGGTTCCTCCTCTTTAAGCAGGTAGCCCTTGCATACTTTTAGATAACGAAACAAGCCATGCTTACAATACCGTCATAATGAAGACGAAATGTAATGTATGAACGAAAATAAATGCATTCAGTTAACTAAGTGAACAAACATACTTAATTTATTCTAATGTATGGAAATGAAAATTTTCAACGACTGAAGTTCAAACAAAAATCCTGTAGGGTACGGGAATAGGCATTATTTTTTAAGTGATATTTTTAAGGATAAAGATAGCTATTTTTAAGAAACCTCGTATAATCACATATAAAAGGGAAAATTCAGAAAGACTAAAAAGGGTGGAGGATACTACAAAAATCAGTCGAAAACCTTCGGTGCGGAATTTACCTATGCCATTACCAAGCTTTAAAACCCCGCTGAGGGGTCTTTCTTTTAGGGTTACCGAGAAAAGTACTGCGAAATTTTATTTCTCCAATAAACATTGGTTAGCATGGATTTAACGCGTATTCGATCATCGATAACTTATGCTAAATAGTCTAAATGCATATTATTATTTTGTTAACAGCATGTGACTGAGAAACCCACCAGTTGCCGAGCTGTAAAGTCGTTGAACATTGGTAGTTCGACTTGGGGTCGATTCCGAGCGAACGGGCTTATTGCATGGAGTTGCGAATTTTTTCCCATGCGTGACGTAGATATGAGCCAGTTGCTTTTAAAACGTCCTCCGCAAAGTCCTCTGTTCCTTCCCATAGGCAGAGAGCCCTGAAGTTGCTTTGCTTTAATCAGTTAACGTATTTTAACACCAATAAAAGTAAAATCACGGTTTCAAAGAGCAACGTATCTTTATATCACAACTCATCCTTCAGCTTTTTCTGCAACTAACTTCAGTTTCCAGAAGCTTATATATCGAATATTATCTCATTTCAGTAACCAGAACTCTTCTGAACCTACATATCACTATTTTTGAATATTACTATGTATACTGAGTTTACTTACTGGCTTTATAAAATATGTATTTTCCTGGGAAAAAATTCAACCAATGAAAAAATGGTATAAAAATATGATAATAATTCTTATCAGACTTAATGATTCAATACCATTTACCACCACCATATTATTTAAGCAAAGTTCGGTTAACCCAAGTTTTACTATATTGTAGGGGGGGGAGGAGAAGAGGGGAAAAACATGCATCCAGCTTGTTTGCCAGGATTTAAATTTGGTTGAATCATCAACTTTCAATGGCCTTATGCACCCGCCATTGGTTGCCAATTGTAATGAATTTCTATTTATTTATAACTTATTTGGAGCTGTAATCTGCTTTCTTAAAATCTCTCGTATCTGAAGCTCTATTGATCTAAAATCTAAAGTCTATCTTGATTATCAATCGTAAATAAATCTGCCTATCTTGAAACATGATCTATAACTGATACTTCCAATTCGTTCCATCATTTGCGTTAGGATAAAAACAAGTATTAATTTCATTATTAAATGTCAGTAACTGAAAGAAATGTTGTAAAATTTTTATAACATACAGTTGTTATAACTCAGTACTGGGCACACTGGAACGTTTTAACAAATTAATAGTAGATATAAAGCAGTGTAACGTATGTCGTGACCCTTCTACACTTCTTGGCAGCAATTCTGGCATAACTGGAGACAGTTCATATAAAACTTAATCCATAATTTAAAGTTCGCAGTACTTCACTTAATACGATTAACACGTAACCGTGTATTGTGAAAGACTATGTTCTGTTGCAATGCTCAATTTACTGTAGTCACGGTTCACGCAAAGATGACAAGCTTCAGAAGTAGCTGCTGTGAAACTTGAATGCACTGCACTGTTAGCAATAGGGAATGACTTCAAAATTATTACTGTAGCAAATACCTATTTTATATACAGACATGATTTACATTTGCTTTCGATTACAGTTTTCATTTTTGCAAATAATAAAAAAAGCATCTACCCATATTTTATATAATAATTTTGTATTTTGCTGGTGCAGTGAGCCTATAACGCACTACGTTTTCTTATTTGTCCATTTGGAAGTCGTGACAGAGGCCACTGTTTATGTCAAAAGTGAATCGCAAGACGCGCCGCTTATAGGCGAGGACTGGAAATTAAATACTATACGAATTTAGATATTCACTGAATGAAACCTAAAAACAAAGTACTAAAACAAATTAAATAAATTCCTGTCTTTGCCAATCAAAAGTTAATGTGAGAGTTAGGAAATTACTCAGGTATCAAGACGAGGAGAACTACCATCTGTCATTATGATGTATCATTCTTGGTCTCTTGATAATACAGTCAATTGTAAGATCATAATTAATAATTGCAGTGATTTCAGGACAGACGGAGGTGGACATATTATCAGAGAAGTGGTAAGAATAGTTTAAAATATATTCATGAACATTTAGTATGTCGATGTTCCGGCGAATAACATAATTCCTAATAAACCAAGGAGATTGACCATAGTGAGCAGGATTTTATTTTGTAAAACTTCTCTTTTATATTAATGATATGCCTGACTACTTAAGAGTTTTCATGCTTCTAGACAACCTTATTTGTCTGTCAGTTCTTTCATCCCTTTCGGACGTCCACAAATCTAAAATTTTCCAAAGTATCTATTGAGAAAAATTCTCATCTAAGCGACTGACGCTCTTCAAGGATTAATTTCAAAACAATTTTAACACTTTCCTACGCAACTTTCTATTAAAACTGTTCTACCTTTGTATTAATGTTCTACATTTATTTCAGACGTAGTTAATGACGCCATCTTCGAAGAAGATCATGATGAAATGGTAATTGTAAAAGATATCGAAATGTTCTCTATGTGCGAACACCATTTGGTTCCATTTATAGGAAAGGTAAGCATTTATTTGCTCTCTAGTAGATAGATAATTTAATAATAAGCGTAAGTCTTTTTTACGAAGGGGAGTCTTTGTCTGCCTGAATTTTGAAGTTTTCAGCAAGATATTAAACATCAAAAGACAATGAAAAAACTGTCGGAGCTGTGATCAAGTAAAACCACTGAAAAGCTGTTTTGTCCATGGTTCATATCCTGACATTTTCATGCTTCTTCTTCCATTATAACTTTATAACTCTATTTAAACTGGCAAAGAAAAATACCAATATAAAATTCAAATTAGACAAAAAGGCAAACTTTGACTGGCGTAGATCTTCAACTAAATTCAATCGATTTTAAGGACGTTCAGACGTAGATCTCTATTCTTTGCTTCGGTAGAGGAGAGTTAGCTTTACATGTATCAGAATTTAAAAATACCAATAAGAGGCCTTTGTGGTATAAAAAGATTGAAACACAATTTCTTTCTTTCTTTGCTTTTTCAATAGGAGAGTTAAATTACATTAAAAGAGGTGGATTAAGATGCCTACAGTAGTAATATTATGGAAAATATTAAAGTATGCTCCTTTGATTTATGTTATTGCAGATAATAAATTAATTATCATTCTGTTATATTTAGTAATATTATGGAAAATATTAAAGTATGCTCCTTTGATTTATGTTATTGCAGATAATAAATAAATTATCATTCTGTTATATTTAGTAATATTATGGAAAATATATAAAGTATGTCCCTTTGATTTATGTTATTGCAGATAATAATAAATTTCATTATCTGTTATATTTAGTAATATTATGGAAAATATTAAAGTATGCTCCTTTGATTTATGTTATTGCGCAGATATAATATAAATTATCATTCTGTTATATTTAGTAAATTATGGAAAATATAAAGTATGCTCCTTTGATTTATGTTATTGCAGATAATAAATAAATTATCATTCTGTTATATTTAGTAATATTATGGAAAATATTAAAGTATGCTCCTTTGATTTATGTTATTGCAGATAATAAATAAATTATCATTCTGTTATATTTAGTGATTCCAGTACCTGGCCAAAATCGCATTATCGGTATTAGGTATTTTTTTAAACATTGTACCAAAATACCAGTATTAGAAATTTTTCAAAAATGGTACAAAAACAGTTGTTTCATTGCTATAATTATTAGTTATATAAAAAAAATGCATAAAATGTAAAAATAAAGACAATTTTATTATGTACAAATATAAAATTAAGGATCAAATGTTATAATCAATTATCAATTAACAGCAGTAAAATAACAATTTATAACATTAAAAACTAAAAATATATTATAAAATATTTGATGTGGATTATTAGAGATAATTTTTGCTGCTCTTCATTTAATGTATTTCCCCGAATTATTCTAAATTAACCGATTCCTCAAACCAAGTTGAAAATGACATCAAAAACTGCAAATTTTGAAATTGAATATGCCAATCAAACAAAAAATGTAGTCACACACTAAAAAATGTTAGTACAAAATTACTTTTAAAATTTTGAAATGTTTCAGAATCATATAAAATGTTTTTATTCTAATGTCAGATAATTTTAATAACCCGTAAATAGAGAGATAAACACGTAAATCGTTTCTTTTTCGTTCAAAGAATTATTAGACAATTGGCATTTGCAATGAGTCATTTAACCTCTGACCTTTCAAAGCTGTTTTAACATTGACAGTAATCCACCAGTTACAAATCAGTTTTATGAAACCCGCAGTACTGGCATAACTTGAAACATGATTCTTTCTCCTTACCAATAGTAGAAAGGGCAACAATAACATAATTGTTAAATAATAGAAACCAATAGTAGAAAGGGCAACAATAACATAATTGTTAAATAATAGAAACCAATAGTAGAAAGGGCAACAACCAATAACATAATTGTTAAATAATAGAAGCCAATAGTAGAAAAGGCAACAATAACATAATTGTTAAATAATAAAAACCAATAGTAGAAAGGGCAACAATAACATAATTGTTAAATAATAGAAACCAATGGTAGAAAGGGCAGCAATAACATAATTGTCTATTAAAACAAGTTTGACATTTCATCTCTCAAAGTTGCATCGGTTGAGTGATTTTAAAGAAAATCCATATATATTGCTGAAGAATTGACTCAATTTCATAAAGCTGTTTTAGTGATTTAAATAAAGTAGTGGTTAATGGTATTTTCTCAGAATTATGAAAATCAGGATAATAAAACGCTTGGTCACAATTTTTTGATTCAACCAATTATTTATTATGCTTTTAAATACATGAACGGAATGAGTGATAATAAAAGAAAGGATCACCTTTATTGCATGGGTGTTGATAAACAAAATTGGGAATGGGAGGAAAAAAAATACATTGCCTTTTCTGTTTACTCGTAGTATTATTATCACTGACTAAAAATTTAGCTTTAAATCCTAAGCTATGTAAACCAGTTACTGTTTTCTTTAAAACAGAAAAAGTTCTTCAGCTTGGATTCTTTTAATGGGCATTATATGTACAACTTCTTTAAATGATGATAATAAACTTTATATCACAAATACATATGCTGCATTTGCAAAACTGTCACTGTTATATGGCATACGAACAACATTTCCTCCCTTATAATCTATTTATGGTTTCATGTATATTTCATCGCACATTAATAAGGTCTTCTGAATTCAAGCCATTTACTTTTCATTTAATGAATAAGAAATTCATCAGACTGATCGGGGTTAGTATTAAATCCAGAATATAGCTATAAGTTATTCTTGGATGCGGCATAATGATATTACACGTACTTCTAAAATATTTATATGCACTAGGAAGACATAGAGAATATAAAATAACGAAGAAAACATACATATGTGATGAATAACGCATGCTTTCCTTTTTACAAATAAAACTTGATAGTTGTTTTAAAATGTATTCCACGCTTTTCTGTTATTAACCATCATCATTATCTACAGTTTTCAGTAGAGAAATAGCTCCATAACAGATATGTCACTTTTTCTAGAAGCTTTCAAGACATCAGCATCAGTTTTCGCCGACACTTTTAATGGAGGAAATCTTTTAAAATGACGTATCCTTTCAGCCCTGGAGGTTCTCGCTCTCGCAACACCGTCTTTTCCAGGATGAACTTCCAAAATTATTCCAGGAGATCAATCGATGCGTCGGGCATGATTTGCCCAATTAGTAGAATAATGCTAACGTGTAACACATTATTTTTTCTTACTCCCTTGTGGACTAAAGGAGAAATATACTCATTTCTAAATCTTTGACTAAGATTTTTCAAGTAACGTCTGTACATACTTTATACGTTTTATAAAGGAAGATCGGTCTACACTGTCAAGATCTGGAGTTTCATTGTTGCTGCCTCCTTGAATAAATATTCTGGTTGTCAGTGGTACCAGTTCATTTGGATTATCTTGTATGTAGATCCGAGGTCTAGCATTTATTATTGATTCACAGTCTAGGATCATGCTGAGTTCTTGGTACTCTACGGAGGATTTTACTTCATCTAATTCTTTTCCCATGGTTTTTAAAAGCCGACAAAGACATTCAAGCGATTCCTTCATATTGGTGACTAAGGAGTTCCTTAATACATTCGTGCATTATAGGTTCAATAAGCATATTTAATTTGAAGAGTTCTCCAATGAACCTTATATTGCCTAGTTGTCTGCATCTCATTTTCTTTTCTTCTTCGTCATACTCTAAATTGAAGCTTTTTTTTCCATTTCAGGATATGCAAATTCAATGGCTTTAATTCTGTCTTCCCGCTTAAGCTCATTATTCCTATCTTGCTCAAACTCTTTGTGGCACTTGTTATTAGGAGCTTCCGGAAATTTACCTGCTGTCCAGGTTGTCTAGCTAAAGGCATTTTGATCAGTGTCAGTTGTTTGCACTTATTAGCCTTAGGAAAACTGAAGTTTGGTCCAGCAATTGTTTTTTCAGAAACCAAATCAATTATTTCTTTTAGCTTATCTTCTAAAAGGAATAATTGATTTAGTTTTTGAAACCTTACATACGATTTATATGTAACGTTTTCACTTGACCAACAAGTGTTTTAAACTTTTGAGTACTCAATTTGTTCAAGATTCTACGAACTTTCCTATACCAACACTGAATTTCAGCAGTCTCATCAGCAGGTTTCTCCATCTTATGAGATGGCTTCTAAGCATTTTCTGCCTCATATAATTTAATATGTTGCAAAAAAGAGCTTGAAAATGTTTTTTTTTTTTTTCTTTTCTTTTCTACTTTTCCAAGCTGACTTCGATGACTAAAAGCAGAGAGATTTTGGTACACCGCCTCTTGCATATGTAGGCATAAATGCATCAGTGTACTTTCGAACAAGAAGCGATACTAGTACAGCTTTAGTTTTTTTTAGAATATAAGCCTTGTCTTTTGTCACATCTAGATTTGGCAGGCTTTTAGGTTTATATAATGACATAGGTGAGACTTCAACTAAAGCAGAAAATCCCTATCATACGGTTCCTTCCCTTCAGCATTTAGAGGGCTCCACTTTTCTTTATATTTCAAAACTAGTTTGCTTTGTGCATCTTCAGATATGTTTTCCTTATCCTCGCTTTCTGCTCCAGGTACAACTGAATACGTTTTTCTAGTAGGCTTAAGAAGAGATATCATTCAGAGGTGTTGACGCAGCTGAGGTTTACGGAGTATAGAATAAATCAATATAAATAAACACTCTCATCCCACGGAGTGAAGAAGGAATTCACGAAGTACCCTCAGTAATAGCGCTGTTATAATTCATATACCAGTTTTAATAATAATCTACTTTTAATTATCAGTTTCAATTGAAATGCAGTAAATGTATAAGACCCAATATGTGTACACAACAATATGTTCAGCATTTAGAGGGCTCCACTTTTCTTTATATTTCAAAACTAGTTTGCTTTGTGCATCTTCAGATATGTTTTCCTTATCCTCGCTTTCTGCTCCAGGTACAACTGAATACGTTTTTCAAGTAGGCTTAAGAAGAGATATCATTCAGAGGTGTTGACGCAGCTGAGGTTTACGAAGTACATTTGCAATGCTGTACATTTGCAAATTTTGAATTTCTTCTCCTCTAATACAATTTATGAATCTCCAAACATAACACCTTTGAACGAGATGAATTAATATGGTCAACTGAAAAATACTGAACATTGATAGGATAGCGCTGCCGTTTAGAGTCAAAAGAAAACAATAGAAGCTCAAGAACTACAGCGTTTGATTTAAAAAAAAAATTAGCATTTTTAGGATGTTAAAAAAATGAGAAATTTCCGGTATGTTTTACATAATAGTACTTTTCAAAGAGTTAGGTTTGCAGCAAGTGTTAGCTGTAAATTGTTTCTATTAATTCTAACTCTCTTATCATCGGCACTTTCTCTATAAGTTGAACCTGGTAAATGTTTGGGCAGTCAGGCAGTTGTGAAGGCACAAGATTCTTTTGAAGCCTTCGAAGAATCAAAATTAATTTTTACAGATAATCTTTTCTCACCAAAATGTTCGATTGCTCTTTCAATGACTCATTCGACAAAATGTTTTCCGTAAAGCTAAAAAGGATGAAAAATTCAATATTGACTACCACTGTAGATTCGTTAGAAAATCTGACAAATAATTTTTAATGTAAAATGAAAATGCAGGTTTCCTTTCAATACGTTAGGTTTTCATTCAGAAATAAATTTAGGAAGTCTGGAAAATGCTAGCACGCTGAATTCTAGTATTTATACTTTGTTTACATTATTCTTCCAAAATACTTCCAAATGCTTCCAAAATACATTAGGTATTTTGGAAGCAGGAAACATGAAAAATTAACAACGCCATCGCCATGAATCGAACCGCGGACCTCTGGATACCGGCCCAGCGTGCAGAACCACTACACCACGAAGGCAAGCTGGGAAGGCGGGAGAACCCCTTTTAAAGGGCGACTGGGGTTTTTAGGGGACCCAGTCGCCAAATTCTGAGTGAGGAGAATCATATTCCAACACCCTTTTAGTTCGATCGCCACTTGTAGAGACATTAAGTATTTTGGAAGCAGGAAAGATGATAAATTAACGACGCCTTCGCCGGGAATCGAACCGCGGACCTCCGGATACCGGCCCAGCGTGCAGAACCACTACACGCTAGGAAGGCTTATAACTTATTAGCCTGATATTATAGAAAGGTTTATGAAGTTCTCGCTTACCTATTATTAACATAAATGTTATACTTTAATTAATATCTCATTTCATTACAGATTTAATTAGGTGCTTTTAAATTAATTACTAATGCTCTTAATCTAATTTTTAGAAAATCAAAAATAAATACTTTTTAAGTGTTTGAAATAGAATATCTTTTTCAATTAAAAAAATATCATGCAGTTTAAAAAAATGTATCGTACATACATTAGAATGTTTCGATGGGGTGAAATTCTGCTGGCGAAATGCATGTAACCACTTCTTGCATATCGAATCTGATTTGGGCAGTAAAACGTGAGGACTGTATTCGGATAATTTCCTCTACAGTTAGATCAACAACAAGTACAAACTATTTTTCAACAGATTATCACCAAATAAAATATTTTAAAATCTTGTATAAACATTCATGCAATATACAAATCTTCCGCTAAAACCCTAATCACGCGGTACCATAAGGTGAGTTTGTTCGCTACCATCGAAACAACCGTATGGTTTGTTATGCCTACTAGTTCGTCACCACTGAGATAACATATATATATATATAGAGAGAGAGAGAGAGATAAAAAGTAAGAAATTTAATTAATTTTCAAAATTCCCTATAATATATATATTATAAGGAAATTTGAAAATTTATTGGTTTTGAATTTCATTTCCTTTGGGTCCTTGTGGATTCGGCTCTAAATTTTTTGACATTCAAAACCAATAAATTTTCAAAATTCCTTATAAAGTACATAATATATACGTATGTTATAAGGATATTTGGTTGTTGTTAATTGATGGTAGATTGGTTTATCCCCTTGATAAGTCGATTAATCTGCGATCAATGACAATAGCTACTTTTTTCAATACTTAAATATTTTGATTTTTTTTTTGGGGGGGGTGTTTCAGATATTTATGTTTCTTTCTAAAGCAATAGAAGTTTAGAAAATACTATTTTAAAAAACTAATTAAAATACTGATTAAAAATTTTTTTAACATTCATTGTCTAATACTTGCGCTAACGCTGCAAAATAATAAAATAATAATTTATTTTCCAGTTGTATATGTTGTTTTGACACAAAGCAAATAACTGACACACCTTTACTTATACAAACATTTGAGTAGTCTACCCAAGTATTGACATAGACTATGATTCTATTTATTGATGCTGTAAGGGAAAATTTTCAGTTTCCTTTTGATTGTAACAGAAATAATTTTTCTTTCAAAAAAGTTTAATTTGAAATTTCATAAATAAGAAATTTACTATGATTTCATACTATACAGAAAAAAAAACCCTTCAATTTGACATTCGCCTCAGCTTAGATAACCAAAATATTCTCGAATTATAGAAACTTTTTTTAACTTTCTTGCATTAAAATAAAAGAAGTATTGTAATCGCAAAAAATTTCGGGTACCATATATCAAAGACCGTTCTCAAATCCATTTGAAGGATTTTTTTTTTTTTTTTTTTTTTTTTTTTTTTTTTTTTTGTATGACATCTATATGTACGGTTAGAATAAAGGACTCTTTTTTTTTTCGAAACGGTTTGTAAAACTGATTTAAAATGCATTCAGAAGAGAGTTTTTCATGATGTTTGTACGTTTGTATGTATCTCGCATAACTCAAAAAAGAGTAGCCGTAGATCACTGAAATGTTTTACATGAGACTGCTGTAACATGTAGTTGTGCACATACCCTTTTCGTTGCCATCAACCGCACAGAAGGCATTATACTCGTATATATTCCCACCGTTACCCACTTCGGTGAACATTTTTATTCTTATAATGTTGGTAAATTGTGCGTATTTTGCTTTAAAAGTGGTTGAATTATGTTGTTCTTATGTTCTGGTTAATTTTTTAAGCCTTTAGTTAATCTGCACGCAATAGGTATAGAATTATTAACAATTGAAAAGCTTAACGAGGCCACCACTTATTTACATTTAAAATACTTGGCAGAGTAGTGAATTAAGTCCAAGGAGGTTGGAATAAATAAGAGTAAGCCTGCCCCATTTGTCCTGTGCGATAAAAATGAAGCCATTAAACGTCAAGGCATAACATCACGACTTATCATGGCCGGTACCATCGGCGCGCTTCTGGATGGTTTTGTTTACATTTTAATCAATGTTGCCTACATGTTTGCTATTCATCATTGAACGCTTTTAAGTCCCCCGTTCTAACTTTAATACTTTTAAGATGAATGATAAATGATAAATTAAATACTATTAAGTATATAGAAAAACACAAGGATTGCAAATAACAGTTTCAGATTTAATATAACCTAGATACATGAAAAAGTGCAAATGATAATTATAACACTAATGTATATATGGTAAAATCTACAAGACCAGTGGAAACTTCATTGCTATTTTATGCAAATTTTGTCCAAAAACACTTTTCTGAGTCTCTGAACGTTTACGCAGTCTTATCCATACGCTTTATGGCGGCCATGATAAGTGGTGACGTGATGTTGGTGACATTCCCTGGGCTTCATTTTTATGACGTCATGCTTACCCCATCAATTCTAACCTCCTTGATCGAATGTGAGACAAATGATTGATGTTGGTACTGCCAACATTGATGAAAAACAGATACGTATTTCAAATAACAGTAGATGCTTAAAAGTTAGATTTAATCCTTTAATTAAAAAAAATGTTATTTATAGCTAATACCAAAAATACTGGTAATTTACCTTAGCAAATACTGGTTTCAAGAAAGTGCAATATAGTATGAAATACCGGCATTGCAGATCACTAGTTATATTGAATTATTACTTTGAAAAATGCAGCTTACTTATTGAGTATATGATAGAATTGTTATTAATTATTGTATATATGAATAAAATATAAAACCGAATGTAAAATGTTTTATTGTGTCACGCTTTCTAGCTTCGTTGCTTACATTTTTATTTTGGTTGTAATGAACTTGCTTTAAGCATATTATTCTGTTACAGGTTTCAGTTGGTTATCTCCCAAATAAAAAAGTTCTTGGATTGAGCAAATTAGCAAGGTAATAAACAAAAGTACTAAAAATATATTTTAACGTTCCATATATAGTTAACATTATTACTATTAATTCTTTGTATTTAATTTTTTTAGGATTGTGGAAGTGTACAGCAGACGTTTGCAAGGTAAATATTTTCCCTGTTAATAGTTTTTGTGCATTTAATAAACCTACAATATTTAATTTGTTAAGCAATCTAAAAATCTACATCACATATTCTTTCAAAATCTGCAGTTAAAATATGACGCAATGAAACTTTCTTTCTTAAAAGAAGATGCAAATTTTTTCTACAGTAGACTTAAAAATGATGATTTCCTCTGGTAACAGAATATAAATTTAAAATACTTCATTTCTTTTTTGGCGCAATTTGTTTAACACCTCGAAATGAAGGAAGAGTCACTGCAGTCTTGAAGTGCCTATTCTAAAGTAACCAATCGACGACGTACAAAATCGGGAAAGCATTAAACTTCAGTGCGTTGCTCAAGTCATTCAAAACAGGGTAACCATGTAGTATGCGATCTACTGCTTTTAGTTAGTTATTTACTTCTTAGACTAGCAACCTGCCCGGCCAGCCGTCTGAAACAATTATTGAAAGAAAGAAAAAAGTATGTAGAACGATTTTAATGAATCGAGCTAACGTAATTTCAGGGGTCCAAGTAGTAATTAATAATACTTGAAACGCATCTGCGTTTTCTGAACCTTTCAGTAAATGAGTTTAGCTCCTGATAATGCATTCTCATTAATAAGTTCACAAGGCGCCTTCAGTTCGTTTGTGCTGGTTAATTGTGCTGAAACAACTGCAGAATATGCGATGTCCTAATGTCTTATTTGAAGTAATCTATCGTTATCTTAGTAATCGTTATGTACAAGCAGCAGCAGACAGAGGGGTCTGTTGAAAGATGTTCGCAAGTGTCTTGTCTGGGCCTGCTCCTTTGGAACACAGCATTGTCACTATTTAATGAAAATCCGCATGCAGAAATTTTGGCTTTCGCTTTTTATTAGTCCTTTTATTTACCCCCTATTTTGACTATTAATTCGCATAAGTTTAGTGTTACTTATGATATTCTCACCTGGCTTCTTTACTTTCAAAGTAGTCAAAAATCATCTGCATAATATTCCCAGAAACATGCCACCCACAGCAACTCCATATTAGGTATTATCTTCACGAATGCTCCAATTATAGTACTCAAAGTTTGCAGAGTACTACTTGAAGGCCTATACGTGGGGACTCACAATAACTTCCAAAGTGAGAAACCTGACAGATACTGCACAAAAACCGTTCCTCTTGAGCAATCATGAAGGATACAAAATCTGACCAACAGTACGTTGCATGTCCTCTCTGGTTTGCCAGTGCTGCATCTGGTAGAGGAAGGAGAAAAGTAATAGTTTCACTGAGAGCAAAACACCCCTAGGCCGTTCACCAACCCACAGTGTTTAACATGAGCACCAACAATACTCAGTGGCCTGAGTTAGAGGCCATGGTAATGTACATCTAAAGGAGTTAAAAGAATAGCTACGTACCCCGGCGTAGGCACACTGAATAGGTACTACTCTCATGCTCACACCTGAAGACAAATCTTTTGATTCAGTGGCAGCATCATTGTGAAACTGACATAACCGGTAGACGTGTTAAAATGAATGTAAAATTGGCACCACCGGTAGACGTGTTTACATGTTCTCTCCAGAACCAGGCCAGAAGCTCATAAGCGGCTTTTCTCAGTTTCACCTGTTCCTAACAGAGTTCGGGCTTTTCATGACTTATTTGTATCTGGTCTCCGGAAGCTGGAGAGCAGCCGTTGACCGGATCACTCTTGTGAAACAATATAATTTCACTTAAAGCAGCCAGCCACAATACTTTTATGGATTGAGAATTTTCATAGAATGCGTATGCTGAGAACAAATTACGTGAATGCGCTGTCATTTTCCATAATACTGCCAAAAAAAAAAAAAAAAAAAGATCACTAATAAGTCAACAATCATCCCAAACACCGCCAACACCAATCTTGTCCCTATACAATATTGTAAATTAAGCACTATGCAATATTTTCATATACCATGTTGCATATCGATATTACTACATTATCATATAGCTCCCTACCTTGAAATATAAACAACTGGTTGACGCTAAGAGAAATCCAAATTAACTTGAATTCACTATATAATGCGGAACTGGAATATTGAAGTTATTTAAAATGTGATTCGGATACAAAACATATTCTAATAAATCTAAATTTTATGTTTTTCTCCAATTTTATTGAATATTTTGTAACTCTCTTAAACTTTTATTCTGACAAAATCCTGAGTAGGGAAAAAAAGCTTTTGTTAGTCAAATTGCTTTTAAATGCGGTGAAACAAACCTAGAAATATTGGACATATTAAAAAAAAAATTGTGAATGAACTTAGAAGTGTATCTTTCATTACTGTAAAGCAAAATTAAAATATAATCTTAATTCCTTAAACATTGATTGAATCTTCATAAAAAGTCCTGTAAATGTCTACAGTAGATTAAAGCAGTCATATCTCAGAAAAATAACGATAAAATTCGCTAGGAATGGAGGATGAAATCTATTCAATTTTAAGCTTCACTGAGAATTTATTAAGAGATGATTCAACGTTATCTTCGCTTTTTTTTCCTTCCTTGTACGAAGTAAAGGAAGTATTGTAATCACAAAAATTTCCGGGTACCATATTTCAACGAAAATATCTATTTTGACCGCTATCGAATGTAACTTAACGATGATTTCGCGTCTTCTGTACGTAAGGACAACGCTGATGGAACGAGACGGCTCCCGACCTAATGCGACCTTATACGCGACAAACGGGAATAAGTGCCGTCCCGCCCTTGATCAATCCACAATGTTGCGACCCTACAGAGCAAGGGCAGACAAGGCAGTACCAGTATGGTTCCTGCCGAGCCTTACTCTGTCCTGAGAGCCCTCAGGTCTTCTGTGAAGTCTGCCATTATGCCTCGTAATTGAAACTGCCTAAGTACAGATCCTAACCAGTACTTCCCAGGCGTTCGCCTGAGTCAACCCCCTCCGGGGGAGTTGTACGTAAGGACAGAATAAAGGCCTCTTTTCCCAAAAAGAATTATAAAACTAATTTAAAATGGATTCCGAAGATATTTTTCGTTGTGTCTGTACGTGCCTATGTATGTATCTAGCATAACTCAAAAACGACTAGCCTCAGAACGTTGAAATTTTTGTATATAGAATTGCTATAGCACGCAGCTGTGCACCTCCCTTTTTGGTGGCAATCAATCGCACCAAAAGTATATATATATATATGTAAGAAAAATAAAGTATAAAAATTGTAGTAAGCTCGCCTAAAAGTTACCAAGAGCTGCTGCTCCAAAAAGTTCAACACGTTTTAAAAAAAAATTAATACATATGAAAATCAAACCATTAGACATGTAAAACATTAAAAAAACAGAATCAGATAAAAAGTAAGCGGAAAATGGTAAATTAGCCCAATTCGACTTCCAAACTGGCTTTTCAAGGGAAATTTCATTTATTTGAACGTCGAATCAAGCTAACCCCATTACGCGTTTCGCCGAAACAGACAATTGAAACTTTTTCGCTACAAAAAATTTTTTTAAATTTAGACAAAGTGTCTTGGAAATTTTAAAATTATAATTACTACCTTGCTTGATATAAGCAAGGTAGTAATTATAATTTTAAAATTTATAGATTATATTAAAAGGGTTTTTTTTAATTATAATTACTACCTTGCATGATATAAGAAAAATAAAGAATATATAAAAGATTAAATTAGCAATGTGAATTTCCCTTCTCTATTCTAAAAATAACATCATCTATTTGCACTGCGTCATTTCGAGAAAAATCTATGTCATATGACTCTTACGTAATTATGATGATGTAAATGGAACTAAACCAGCCAATAGTAATTTCACAGCAATATTAACTGTCCAATCAAAATGCTTTGAAAACCAAAACTAACTCAGTCTGACTTGAGATTTCATCCTGAACATGACTTTTCTACGCTCTGCCTTAGCTGATCTGTAGTTTATCTGCTGCTGCTTTCTTGCTACAAAGTTATCAAAAATGTAAACCCTTTCGAACAGGCCCATTTAATGTGCCGACTTGTGTGTAGCCGCCACATATTACTAGAAATAAAACTGAAGATTTAATCTGCCTTCGTCTCCAATTTCCTAGTCATTATGGATCAACATTTATACGCAAACAAAATTCCTGCTCCTGAATAAACATGTTTAAACATGCTCCTGAATAACCATGCTTTTAAAAAATATGTTTTGTAAATATATATGTAAAGTATATATATGTAATATATTCAGGAGCAAACAAAATTCCTGCTCCTGAATATATTACAATGTATACTTTATATATATATATTTACGAAACATATTTTTTAAAAACAAAATATAAATATGCCTAGTTTTTTCGCGCTTTAAACTGCTGAAAATTATCATTAAGACATAAAGTAAGAAATTTAGATGGGATTAAAATGGGAACAAAGAACATCATTCAGTTTAACACTTTAATTAAATCTTAAAATCAATTATTCTATAAAAATATTAGACTCAAAAAGGTGCCTAAAGAGTGGTGCTCAAAAGGTTTTTAATAATTATACTGTAGATTTGAGTAGAAAAATCCATAAAGGTTGAATTTTAGATTTTTTAATATTGTAATTTAAAATTACAGAAAAAGGTAGAAAAAAGAAGTAAAACAACTTTTGTTAGAAAAGAAAAAAAAGCCTTCATGTTATGGGCTTATTATGATAACTTTGAAAATATATAAGGCCCTTGTTTAGTAACAGAATTGTAATTAAAATAAAAATAAAAACCTATAAACCCTTTAAAACATCCTTCTTCATTCTTCTCTTTCGGAGCTTTCAGATAAAAAATTCATGCTTTTAAAAAGTATTTATAGGGTGTAAATTGCTTCATATCTCTTTAAAAGACTATTTATGAACTTTAAGAAATTCCATTATCTTTTAAAATTTTGGTGAGAATTAGAATTTCTTCTTTTTGTGTTTCTATTTCAGTGTAAACTTTTTTAATTCTGCTAATTTAGTTAATAATAGTATTCGCAATAACTTTTTTTAAATATGTTGGAGTTCCAATTTATAAGTTCATTAGTAGAAAAA